CCCCTCCCCATAACGCCCCCCTTCTTCCCCCTCCCCTCCCCATGACGCCCCCCCCTTCCCCCTCCCCTCCCCATGACGCCCCCCCCTTCCCCTCTCCCCTCCCCCGCCTCGCCACGGCTCCCTCCTCACCTCCCTCCCTCTCCCCTCAGACTACACCGAGGGCCACCTGCTGCGCCACATGCCCAAGGCCCTGCTCAAAGCCCTCATCACGAAGCCAGTCACTGCTAACTTCCACCACTTCTGCGTCACGCCCAAAGTATGCTTATTTTTTTGCGTGTGTGTGTTTTTATTTTGATTTGATTTGAATTTGTTGATTCATTTATTTGTCTGTTTTTTTCTGTTTATATGTTTATGTATTAATTAATTAATCAATTTATCTATTTATTTATTTATTCAGCCGTTTTTTAATTTATATATATATATATATATATATATATATATATATATATATATATATATATATATATATATATATATATATGTATGTATGTATGTATGTATATATTAATAGGTTAGGATGAATGCTTTAGTTTAGTCACGGTTACTATTTGTGATTTCTATGGTGTAGCTTTTTGAGATCTGACTGTATTCCTTATTATTATTTTTCTTGTTTATGTACTGATTTGATGAGAGAGAGAGAGAGAGAGAGAGAGAGAGAGAGAGAGAGAGAGAGAGAGAGAGAGAGAGAGAGAAAGAAAGAAAGAAAGAAAGAAAGAAAGAAGAGAAAGAAAGAAAGACAGACAGACAGACAGACAGACAGACAGACAGACAAACAGAAAGAATGCAAGGAAACTGAGAAAATGAAAAGGCAAAAGAAAGAGAGAGCCAAACAAACAGACAGACACAGAGAACGACCCAAGCCACAGACAGACACAGACGACGACCTGAGCCACAGACAGACACAGAGGACGACCCAAGCCACAGACAAACACAGAGGACGACCCGAGCCACAGACAGACACAGAGACCCAAACCACAGACAGACACAGAGAACGACCCAAGCCACAGACAGACACAGAGACCCAAGCCACAGGCAGACACAGAGACCCAAACCACAGACAGACACAGAGGACGACCCAAGCCACAGACAGACACAGAGACCCAAACCACAGACAGACACAGAGACCCAAACCACAGACAGACACATAGAACGACCCAAACCACAAACAGACATAGAGACCCAAACCACAGACAGACACAGAAAACGACCCAAGCTACAGACAGACACAGAGACCCAAACCACAGACAGACACATAGAACGACCCAAACCACAGACAGACACAGAGACCCAAACCACAGACAGACACAGAAAACGACCCAAGCTACAGACAGACACAGAGACCCAAACCACAGACAGACACAGAGAACGACCCAAACCACAGACAGACACAGAGACCCAAACCACAGACAGACACAGAAAACGACCCAAACCTCAGACAGACACAGAGACCCAAACCACAGACAGACACAGAGAACGACCCAAACCACAGACAGACACAGAGACCCAAACCACAGACAGACACAGAAAAGGACCCAAACCTCAGACAGACACAGAGACCCAAACCACAGACAGACACAGAGAACGACCCAAACCACAGACAGACACAGAGACCCAAACCACAGACAGACGCAGAGACCCAAACCACAGACACAGAGAACGACCCAAACCACAGACAGACACAGAGACCCAAACCACAGACAGACACAGAGACCCAAACCACAGTCACAGAGAACGACCCAAACCACAGACAGACACAGAGACCCAAACCACAGACACAGAGAACGATTCAAACCACAGACAGACACAGAGACCCAAACCACAGACACAGAGAACGACCCTAGCCACAAACAGACACAGAGACCCAAACCACAGCCAGACATACGGAGCCCCGAACAGCCCTGAACGCCCTCGCCTCCTTCTGCCGCAGAACTTCAGCGACTTCGGCGTGGACAAGGTGTACCGCCCCCTGGCCTACAGCTGCGACAAGAGGGGCGTCGAGTACGTAGCGATGGCCGAGGGGAAGGATTTCCCCTTCTTCGCCGTGCAGGTGGGGGACGGAGGCTCTTGTTCTGGCCCTTGTTCTGCTTTTTTTGTTCTTGTTCATGTTCTTCTTTTCGTTTATGTACTTTTTTTTTGTTTTGTTTTTTTCTTTCTTTATCAGCTTTTTTTTCCCTTCTTCGCCGTGCAAGGTGGGGGACGGAGGCTCTTGTTCTGCTTTTTTGTTCCTTCTTTTGTTCTTTGTTTTTGTTCTTCTTTTCGTTTATGTACTTTTTTTTCTTTATCAGCTTTTTCTCTTTTTTCTTCTTCTTCTTCCCTTTCTTCGCCGTGCAGGTGGGGGAAAAGGATTTCTTTCTTCCTTTTGTTCTTGTTTTTGTTCGTGTTCTTATTCTTCTTGTTCTTTTTCTTTGTCATCTTCTTCTTCTTCTTCTTCTCCTTCTTCTCCTTCTCCTTCTCCTTCTTCTCCTCCTCCTTCTCCTCCTCCTCCTCCTTTTTTCCCCGT